TAGTAGTAGTAGTAGTAGTAGTAGTAGTAGTAGTAGTAGTAGTAGTAGTAGTAGTAGTAGTAGTAGTAGTAATAGAAGTAGTAGTAGTAGTAGTAGTAGTAGTAGTAGTAGTAGTAGTAGTAGTAGTAGTAGTAGTAGTAGTAGTAGTAGTAGTAGTAGTGGTAGTAGTAGTAGTAGCAGTAGTAGTAGTAGTAGTATCATTATCATTAGTACTATTATAATTATCGTTTTTTAAATTATTATTTTTATAACTACATTCTTGACTCTGTTGTTCTTCAGTACATTATTTTCATTATAAACTTCAAAAATGTAGTCCTTGTTCTCATTGCTACGGTTCCTTCTTCTTCTTCTTCTTCTTCTTCTTCTTCTTCTTCTTCTTCTTCTTCTTCTTCTTCTTCTTCTTCTTCTTTCCCAAGTGTACCCCCCGGGGCGGTACCACTGACTAAAGTATTTTTAGGCTATTTCAAAGGGGGGACATTTCTCGTTCTAATGCACAGTAGAATTGTAAAAGGGTTGATCCAACAATGTCAAGAACTTAACTGTACCGGAACTACATCAGGGAATTGCTGCTCTTTCCTTATCCTTGCTATCGTCATTTTCCTCTACTTCTTTTGTATGTTTGCCACACTCTTTTGAAGCACTATTTCCGTGGTGAAGCAAGAGAGGTGAGCAGAGTAAGTCTGATTCCCTGTAAGGACTTCCCTGTTGACATCCACCCCTTGGCGCTCAAATGAATTTATGCAGTTGCAAACGCCGTAAAACCTCTACTAAAACTTTAAAAAACCAAACTTCCCCAAGATTATCCATTTCGCTTTCATTTCTGTAACCACTACTAACTGATGTTACTGTTGTTTTTGCCTGTGGTGACAGATTTACGTTGCTGTTGTTTCTGTTGTCACTTGTATGTGATAATGACGATCATGACAATGATCCTGATGATGATTATGATCATGATCATGATGGTGATAATAACGAGGAGGAGGAAGAGGATGAGGGGGAGGAAGAGGAGGAGAAAGCGAAAGAAAATGGGAGAAGAAGTCAACAATTTAATATTTAATTTCTCCCCAACGTATAAATGACAAATATGCAGTATCTTTCTTTAATAAAGCCACATGACATAAACACTAAGATAATTGTCGAAAATTTGAGAATAAATTCTCAAAACCCCCCCCAACGGGAAAAACCCAACACCAAACAAACAAAACAACCTCAATCCTCTTTATCTTCATCTTAATTATAGCCGCCTTCAAGGTCAATGTCCAGCTATCCCACCCTGCAAGCTGGGTGAAGTTCAACGTGGACACCAAAGGGTTCTACAGGGTAGACTACCCTTCTGATATGTGGAAGCGATTGTCCAGCCACCTGCTCACTACAGATGACGTCACGGTAAATGGTCAAATTATCTTGCTGTTGTTGTTGTTGTTGTTTTTGCTGTTGTTGCTATTGGTGTTGTTGTTGTTGTTATTGTTGTTTTTGCTGCTGTTGTTGTTGTTTTTGGTTTTTTTGTCCTTCTCACCCACCCACCTACCCACCCTCTCTCTCTCTCTGTCTCTCTATCTCTGTCTCTCTCTCTCTCTCTCTCTCTCTCTCTCATTCTCTCTCTCTCTCTCTATCTATCTATCTTTCTCTCTTTCTCTCTTTTTTCTCTTTCTCTCTCTTGTACTTTGTCTCTATCCTTCTTTGATTATTTATTACTTTTGTTAACACTCTCGAGCACATTTTTTTTCAATTCGCTAAATTTATAAACCCCTTGCTTCTCCTTGTCAACTTGTCAATCGAAATGAGTTAAAAAAATAACGGCGGGCCTATGTAAAGAATGTCATCAGCGGGTAACTGTAGAATTTAGCTCCCCCATTCTTAACTATCTTGACCAATACGCACGTACGGGGTTTTCGACTTGTGGATCACCGTAGCTTCATTCGCGAAAGACAGTTTTAAGAGTTGTTGTTCTTTTAGTTGAATTTTTTTTTCTTAACCTTTTTTTTTTTGAGGGGGGGGGGGGGTCGGATTGATATTTTCTTATTATCTCATTTTAAAAAAAAAGAATTAAAGATCGAAATTGTCTTTCTTCTACCCGGTGACCGACACGCGGCCGTGATCTTACTGGATGTGTGAACTCAGCACTCAAAAAGAACTTTTGTCGCCCACAAGTTGTATGATAATAATTTGTTGTTGTCGATGTCTTCGCTGTCCTATTCAGTTGTGACAAATAAAACGAATTCCGCTTTCGAAAAGATTCTTTGTGTTGAGAAATACGTTTGACTCGAACTTATTCATCTATTATTATTCTTATTGTAGTATAACGACTATTTGGTTGAATATTTTATCCTATTGGAGATTGCAGATCAATTTCGTCTTTCCAACAGACATGGCGGTTGACAGCTTCAGACAGATCCGGTCTACTCAGTGATGCCTTTACACTGGCTCAAGTTGGTCAGGTGACCTACGATATACCCCTCGGATTGGCTAAATACCTCACCAAGGAAAGAAACTACGTTCCGTGGGCATCGGCAGTCGCTGATGGTCTCCAGTACATCAGCTCAATGATGCAGTTAGACCCACATTACGAGCTTTGGGAGGTAAAGCTTATTACAGAAAACAAGACTGTTTTTCCATATTTACTTTTTTTGTAACAAATGTACGCTCTCACAACTTCTCTCTTTGTATTTTAGACAGTGTGGGTTGTTACACAGATACAAAGAGAGATGGAGAGAGAGAGAGAGAGAGAGAGAGAGAGAGAGAGAGAGAGAGACAGACAGATAGACAGACAGACAGACAGACAGACAGACAGACAGACAGACAGACAGACAGACAGAGAAAGACAGAGAATGAAGAAAATAAGAGTGAGCGAAAAGGTCATCATCAGACACTGATGATGATGATGACAATTTTGCTCACTTTTATTTTTTTTATTCTCTCTCTTTCCCTGTCTCCTTCTCTCTACTTCTTTCTTGGTATCTCTGATTAACTTACAATATCTATCTATCTATCTATCTATCTATCTATCTATCTATCTATCTATCTATCTATATATTTATCGTCTCTTCCTCCCCTGCCCTCTGAGTTCAAAACTTCATTCCCCTGATGACTCTCAATTGTTATTTCTCCTCGTATCCCCCCTCATATTTTCTGTACTTTTATCTTTATTTTCTTTAATTTTTAATTTAAATGAAGTTGGGTTGTTGGTTGTTTTTTGTGTGTTTTTTTTTTTTTTGGGGGGGAGGGGGTGTTCATTTGGTAGCTTGTGGGTTACAAGGTTTGAGAACTGGTCAATAGATTGGTAGTCTGTTAAACACAGAATTGTTTAAGCTTTTGAACCACCACCCTATTTATTTCTTATCTGTTACACTACTTTTGTCAGATCTACGTCAGATCACTTGTCAATCCTGTTCTGGATAAGATGGGCTGGATGAAAACAGGATCACACCTAGAAAGGCAAGTATTTAATATCATTATTTCTCTATTGTATTATTATGACCACTCATAAACTCACACAGCTGCATAAAACTTCATACAACAGCTATGGACTCTATCTATCTATCTATCTATCTATCTATCTATCTATCTATCTATCTATCTATCTATCTATCTATCTATCTGTCTATCTATCTATCTATCGATCGATCGATCCATATGTCTGCAGGTCTGTCTGTCTGTCTGTTTGTCTGTCTGACTGTACATCTTCCTAGCACTCTATCCATCTGTTCCTGTATCTATTTCGCTACCAACCGAGCTACGAGTATCTAGCCACAAAATATCTGCTTGTCTGTCTAGCTACAGTACACTATCTATTTATCTAAATGTTCATTCATTTAATTGAAAACGCTAGTTGGATTGTCAAAACGAATTAATACTACTACGTGTCATTCATCAGACAACTGCAAGGAGTGCTAGTAAAGCAGGCTTGTCAACATAACGACGAGACAGCTCTACACCAAGTCCACATGCACTTCAGAGACATGATTGATAAAGGCTTAAGGTATGCCTTGTTATAGTAGCTGAAAAACGTCTGTTTTGGTCTATCGGCTTTTGGCAGAAGTTTTTCCTTACTGTATTTTATCATTATCATTGTTAATATTGTTTCTATTTTAATAATTGTTATTATTATTGATATCATTATTATT